GAGTGTAGTGTTAAGTGGCGCAGTCTTGTAGTCCTGTTACTGACTATGGGCGACATGTTAATATTGAATTCTGACTCTTAGTCCACAGTATGATGGGAAACAGTCAAATTTACTATACAAGATTATTATTAGGTATAACACTCATGGGAAAAGCTCCCTTACATTATCTGCAATAGTTAGAAAATAAGATTCTGTTCCTTTTTTTAAGAACCTTGTATGTAGTTTTGTGTTCAAACTGTTTAGTGCATTACCTTTTTATATGTCTGCTAAAAGAAACATTTTATTGTTTTATACATTTTTGGAAGTTTATTCAAATTAATTTGATAAATCCTTCACGAGTCTTGGGCTATTGTGAAAAGTACATTAAAACAGAATTAAGTTCATAAAATTGAAAAAAGACGAACTTTCACTACCTAACCATCTTTGCTTTTGAAACACATATCTACAGCTGCCAGGTGGATAACAATGTCAGGTTGACATTCAAGGTCATCGGAAATATAGGCCTGTTAATTATAGATAAATTGTATACCAGTAAAATTCTTGGTTAGTTTGATTAGAATTCTCAAGTGTTACATTCATATGGTTTTACTTTTAATATTTTGAACACACTGATCTAACGTTGGTTTATCCATAATTTATATTGTGTTTCATTGTTGACCCTAAATTAGCTTCCACGTGTATACTGTGTATTCCTACCACCATTCAACACAATATTGTTTAATAGACACATAACCGAAATTTATAACACCTCAATTATGATTTTATATCAGACCAATCATACAAATATGTTCACTTACACAACAATTAACTGCGTAATGTAGGTAATAAAACGGACCATTTAACAAAGCTATAAAGCGTCGCCATTAGCAGATGTATTAAAACCCGACCCAATCACTTTAGATGTAATTCCGAAGCGCGTCAAGTGGTTTTACTGTGATATTTGTTTGCGTATCTCATCGCGTATCGTATTCCGTATTGATATTGAAAATTAAATCTGAAAGCATCATTTCATCCCAAGTAAACAGAGTATTTTTTACTTGACATAATCTTAGCATAATGTTGTTTAAATATTCATCGTTCCATGTGATCGCGAACTTATTCTAAGTGTGTCACTATACCATTTCATTCTTCAAAATGCATGTTCACACGCTTATTTCCTGAACTATTATTCCAAGACTGTACACAATCAATTTTTTACATTAATTAACAGGAGAGATAATGCTAGTGTAGTACATTGACAGAATCTATAGGCTACTTGGAAATCCCAAATAAAAGTTTAGATGTTAAATGTATTTCATTGTAAATAACTCCCTGTTTTTCTGATACATTAATGACACAGTGTTGTAGAATTGATACAGATCCAAATCATATCTCATAGTTGGCGTAACTTTGACACGCATATTAATTGTATGCGTACAACCCATTCCAAACACTCGAGCATATATCTGTCTGTCTATCACGCAGTTACATACATCAACTAATCCTGCTTGACATGTGGTGTATACTGTATATTCCGGCTGTCAGAATATTGAATATTATATAATGTTATATTTATAGTAATCTACAACCTAGGCAATTTTGAATTAATTAACATTTGGACGTAATTTATTACTAATGAACATTTGTTTAATTTGTGTTACATATACATTTTGTAGAAGGTAAGACTTTGGTGACTTTAGTAAAACTTTGTAAATATTAAGACTTTCTTTTTACGAAGTTGTTTTATGCTTCGACTATACAACAATACGTACAATGTTTCAATTATTATACCTATACTATTTCGATAGGTATTAATACTAGGTTTGCACAGTGTGCCTAAACTCGTATTTTCTATTATTTTACGTGATGTGGTTTTCAAAACATTATTAATTAGATCCAAAATCAATGCTGGGTTAAAAAAATTGTAAAAAAATCCATTAAAAAACCAGATTAGAATTTCTTATTTTACTTGGCATACTTGCAAATGTATTTTGCAGTTTAACCAATGAGTAAATGCAGTAGATTATAAGTCTAAGTAATGTTTACTATTACATTATATTACATTACATTATACATTATTCTATTAATACAAGAGGTTCTACCCGCGAATTCACGGGTGAACAGAAGCCACCATTAAATTAATTTAATCAAATTAGACTTTATATTTCATTTAAAGGACCCAAGTTCGAGAAATTGTCATCTGAAATGATGTTAAAAGCAGTGGAACCTTCATACCTTACGTCCTTAAGGTTGGTCGAGGTTGTACCTGAACTCACCGCTCTCTTTCACGACGTCTTTAATACTTTAATACTTTACTTTAATACTTTTAAATGAAATGCCAACCTGTTAAAGATATGTGACAACCTCTTGGAACGAAGAACATACATGGTTTGTTAATCTCATATTCATCGTGTTTCAAACACCTTTAATCACTCACTTGTATCAAATCGCTAGAAATAGCTTCACTGTCCATTCGCTGCACTTATTTTAAGAACATAAAAGTAAATAATAAAATAAGTAAACAAAAATGTAAACAAACAAACTATATTTTTAATTGCATTGGCCAGCTGTTGTTCACCAAATTAATCAAATGATAACTTCCGAAACATGCAAGGCGTAGCCCTTTGGAAATCAGCCTGTGGGGCAGAGCCCTTAGGGAGTTCGTTCATATCAATACTTTTCGGCAAATCTACACACTCTAAGCTTCATTTTGATATGCCATATGCCTATATTTTTATATGGTAAATGACCTTAACCGTTTACATAAAATTTGATTGTATCACTTTAATAATATATATATATATATATTTATTTATTTCTTTATTTCCTCTCAACGGTTACACCATTTTACAGCCAATATATGGTATGTTACATGTTGTATCTAATAAGCCACAAAATATTGAGCAACAGTAACTACTCTAGTAATAAATATAATAGATTTTTGTAATAGTAACCAAAAGTGAACTAAAATTTATGAAAAAACGCAGTAAATTCTGATGAAAATGTGTTTGTAAAAAAATTAAAATGCGTGAAAAACTGTGTTTGAAATCATTCACGTTCCCAGAGAACATGAAATCCCCCCATAACTATTTTATGTTAAAACATCTTATGTAGTTGAAGGTTACTGTACTGTTTTTCCATAACCTATATCCATACTGTAAGGGCATCAATTAGTTCCATGAACAGGGGCATATGCGATAATCTCAAAATGTTTATACAATCGAGTAAACATTACACGGCTGAACGTTGTCGCCCGACTAATTATCGGTTAATAGGATTGTGGGTAGCTTATACGTTATATCAACAAGCAGTTGTATAGGTATTAAACAGTTGTAATACTATAAGGAAGCCCATTCAACAGCGGTAGCCTGTAAATTTTACCACATTTTGTTGTGTAGAAATTGTATTTCAAGTTGTATTCTACCAGTGCAAACAAAGATGAAGTATAACTGGAACAAACTCACCTTACAATATTCATTTTAGGCTAGGCCTATTCTATAAAAGTTTAAGGTTAATAACAAAGATATACGAATTACAAAAGGTGTTTTATTGAAATAAATGAACAATCATGCAATGAAATTTAAAAGGCTTAACGTTATAATGAAAGGACTGACGATGGTGTTTGGGGGTTAAATTAAAATGAAATAAAAGATAAGTTTGAAATAAAGGTTCAAATAATTTAGATGTGCTCTATCTCAGGGTAGGGTGTCGTGCTGGCTTGAATGCTAAGAGTTAATAAATGTAATAGTGTCCAAATAGGCCTAATTATGGTGTTAAACTTACAAAATTCCAACAATGAAAAACCTAATTTTGATGTTGTCCAAAAGGTAAGTCCAATTAGTATAGCACTGAATTTAAAAGAGTTTAAAAAGAAAAGTTTATACTTAATTTTGAAAATAACAATGATGGAGTTGAGTCCTCTTGAGGTTTACTGTGATACATCTTTAATAAACTGGTTTTCTTGTTGATATTAATGAATTTAATTTAGATAAAATCTGGAATCCTTCTTTTAACTAACAGTTTCAACTTCCACTCTGACTTCCTTCTCTCTCCAATCTCAATGTTCAATTGCTTTGTAAAAACTATATATAGGCTATGGAATGAATATTATTAATGATTAATTGAACAGATTAATGAAATTATATAAATTAGGAAAATGAATATTAGGCCAGCCTTTCTGAGGAGTGATTAATAACAAAGGTGTAGGAACAAAAGTTAACATTTTAAGAAACTTAATACTAAATAATGAATAAATTAAATTAAATATTACAGTGCAAACGTAGATGAAGTATTACTGGAACACTCCTTGGCCAAAGTAATATCTTGATCACATTGCGTAAGCCACACCCATCATTAAAGCAGCTTAAGTTGTGCGATCGCATGAGTAACTCCACTTTAATTTGCGCAAGTTCATAACTTCATATTTTATCTTACCACTGCAAACTATTGTTTGTTAGTGAGCTAAATATGTATTGTATCAGTTTTAGATTTTCTATATTTTGCAGCAATCTGTACCATCGTTTTGAAAATTTTATTAAAATCAATTGAAAAACATGCCCTTTGAATGTGTTCCATGTTTATGTCTGATTATTAAAATAATAATCCAATAACTACAGTTAGTAATCAATTATTAATCTACTTAATAATATGTGAAAAAGTACTGCTTCAAGTAATGAAACTTCAACATTGGGTCGATCGAAATTGAGTCAAGAAAATTAGTTAAAGACCATGTTTATGTTGTCAATGTCACTTGCTTGTCTTTCATTTAGGTTCTTGTCACTAGAGACAACTCTGGATCCAATTCTCCTAATGTTAGTGTTTGACGACGTAGTGCTTAAGAAAAAAAAAACATTAAGAGGGTATTTTTGGAATAGTATTGGCTACAATTATCCCGTGTTCGGTACTATCAGAATGTCTGCATTATACATTAGATTTTAAAGGGTTGGGCTGTAAAATAAGTCGGTTTAACAAAGTACAACTGTATATTTTAATATTTACATACAAATGGAAATCCATCCAAGGTAACAGTGAAAAATATACATCTTGATTTTTGATACAATTTATACATCATGTCAAAACAATTATAACTTGCGAAATTCCTTCCCAGGGGGCTCACAACTTAGGGAGGCATTTCGCTGAAATTGCATGACATAAAATAAACATTACATTGTATTCATAACAGTTTTATAAAAACTACACGTTTTTTATCAACACGAGTAAAATATGTAAATACAAGGATATTAAATTGTTATCCAAATTAAATAAGTACATAGCACATACATTAATACGTTTGGAGAGTATGAAAAGCATCTTAAATTTAGTCCATTTGTGCCACGCCTACTAAACCTTGGTTATCCGAAACCAGTTCCACGATGTAAAAGATTAAACCAAGGCTCAGATCAGTTTTATCCTTCACATACCTGGCTTTTAAAACACATTTTTAAGTATGTAAACAATTAGAGTAAAAATGCTGAGTGATTGACATCAGTAGTTTACATATAATGATACATGTGACAATGCCCTTTTTCTCGACTCGATCGTTGTAAAAACAAACGTGACACTAGGTAGTTGAGCAATGTCTGGGGACGTAGCTGGGACACCTTGGCAAGGTCACTTGTAAGGAAGGAGAGGCAAGAGGGAGGTTAGAGAGATGTGCAGGGGACCCTCTTGCTGGCTCTCCGCTAGACCTGTGTCACCTGCGTGGTAGTGTGGTTGTTGTGGCCGTTGGCGTCTACCTGTGGCACGGGCATCCACCTTGGCAAGGTCACTTGTAAGGAAGGAGAGGCAAGAGGGAGGTTAGAGAGAAGTGCAGGGGACCCTCTTGCTGGCTCTCCGCTAGACCTGTGTCACCTGCGTGGTAGTGTGGTTGTTGTGGCCGTTGGCGTCTACCTGTGGCACTGGCATCCACCTTGGCAAGGTCACTTGTAAGGAAGGAGAGGCAAGAGGGAGGTTAGAGAGAAGTGCAGGGGACCCTCTTGCTGGCTCTCCGCTAGACCTGTGTCACCTGCGTGGTAGTGTGGTTGTTGTGGCCGTTGGCGTCTACCTGTGGCACTGGCATCCACCGAGGCCTGAACATCACCGTGAACGTTGTCCTGAACTGGCGACTCATGGCGCAGTACAGTATGAAGTTGATGGCGGAGTTGATGAGGGCTAGGATATCCATCACTTCCCCCAGCTTGTTGTAGCAGTCCCGGAAGAAGCGTTGACCCAGCACGACGCTGAGCACTCCTAGGATACCCTGAGGGAACTCAGTGAGAAGGAACAGCAGCAGCACCGCCAGCAACATCTTGGTGGTTCTGTCTGTCTGTCGCTCCTTCTCCATGACCCTGGTAGACTTCCTGCTGCTGCTACTGGTCAGCATCTCTCTGCGTCTCTTGGTGTCCAGCAGCGCACAGATCAGCCGCAGACTCAGCACGGTCAGCGCTATACAAGGGATTATCTTGATAACAACACTGTATACCCAGAAGTTGACGTCCATCAGGAGGTTGTTGTTCGCTTTGCCCATCTCGCTGAGGTCCACGACATACAGCGTTGTGTTCTGGCCCGTCGTCGAGTTGGGCATGGCGTCGTTGCCGTCTTCGCCAAGTAACGCAATCTGTAAATATTTAAAAATTAATCACAAATCGTCAATGTAGATATTATATTACATTCATGTCGAAAGGTCATCTCGAACTTAAACTTGATCTATGGTAATAAATTCCTTGAGAAATTATTTAAAACGCATTAACCTATGCAAAATTGGGTTAAGTAGTTAATTTAATAATTCCGAATGAAAATTAAATTACTCCCCTTTTTGGCATATAGGCCTAGTTGATATAAAAATGTACCATATCTACGATGTGATCAGGGATTGTGCTAGCCTATTTAAACTACCTAATAGACCGATAGTAATCTCATTTAAACATAATTTGAAAATAACATATTTCTTTATAAAACAGTTTTTTTTGCACGTGGATCTTTAAGGTGCTTACAGAAGTAGTCAAGTAGAAAACAGTACTGCTTGCTTCAACAAAATACCATTTGTCTAGTAGCTATAAGTAATATACCTTGAATCTGTATAATTTGAAAGCAAATTTGCTATTAATTCTTTTCGAAACTAATTGTCTCTTACACACTACTGCAAATTCAAGAACTCCAAAACTCTTCTAGTAACAGCTTCTTAAATATTTATGAACTATGATTGCCAACGTATATTGTGGATGAGCTCTATGTTATATTGTATATTTAAGAAGTATTTAGATTGACCTTAGGTTCGATCTCGAAGGCCAGGTAGAGCGGGATACACAGCAGTGGACAGCAGATGTAGCCAGCCGCGATGGCTGCCAGAGTACGCTGCATGCCACACCACTCTCTGTTACGTTGTGGATGAGCCACGGCGATGTATCTCCACACAGCCAACGTCACTGTCAGCCAGATAGAGATTGTGTGGAACACCTGCGACACCTGGGCGTGCAGTAGGACGAACAGGGCCCAGCCATAGGAGTACCTTAGCATTACATCAGGGTCAGTAATAGAGAAACCATGCTGCTACGCCACACCACTCTCTGTTACGTTGTGGATGAGCCACGGCTATGTATCTCCACACAGCCAACGTCACTGTCAGCCAGATAGAGATTGTGTGGAACACCTGCGACACCTGGGCGTGCAGTAGGACGAACAGGGCCCAGCCATAGGAGTACCTTAGAATTACATCAGGGTCAGTAACTGAGATACCAGGCTGATGGAGGTGAAATGATGCCATCATAAGTATCAGGTGAGATTAAGTTGGTAATAAGACCATATAGGTCACACGACTTCTTTAACCCACTCTTCGATTCTGGACTTCCATACGTTGTTCAGTTAGGTATTAAGTGGTCGAGAAAGATTGTATTTTAAAACATAGTTTCTGATGGAAAGAAACGTTTAAAAATTGTATATCAGGTTACTTAAACACCACAATAGCCTACCTCTCCCTCTTAGGCCGCTGGGGCAGATACATGTGGCACGCGAAGGGAATGTACTCTATCATAACCAGCAGATCAGCCACAGCCAGTCCGGTCAAGATGGCGTTGGTTGGTGACGTCATCTCTCTCCTGGTCAGCACAGCAATGTTGAGAACATTAGCGACGGATCCAAACACACAGACTAGCAGACTGACATAACCGTGGACCCCGCGGTAGGTGGCGTGGAAATGGTCCAGTCCCGGCCCACAGTAGCTGTAAAAATAAACATATATTTTAAGTTACTTATAAAATGTCCAAACTGTAAATGGAAAATCTTTGTAGGAAGTTTAGGTCAAGGTCAAATGATGAAATAAGATTTTACGACGCCGAGCCATCTACAGGACCCCTCTGCTCTTCGTTCATGAACAGATTGATTTTCCAACAATATTTGAATACTGACACAGAAAATAGCATGGATTTTATTAAACAATAATCATGTATCTTAGGTTTCTTATACGGTACATGTTATACAGTAACATGTACTCGACATAACATGTAGGCCTATAGGCATACTTTAGTTGAAGTTATTAAAACTTATCGAAGGTAAAGCATTTTAAGTCCTATCGAATTTTTGTGAATAATTTGCATAGAGTATTATTCATCTGAATATTAGTCCATTTTTAGTTTTATAGTAAGACCATCGTACCTTAACTCAGGAGGAGTCGGCAACGTAGTGTTTGCTGTGACATTCATGTTGCTCGTTGATGGAGGTCGCAAGGCGCAGTCATCTGTGGACCGTCATCCAGGATGTCTATAACACATAGTACCAGAAATAAGTTACGGTATTTCTTATTAAGCAGATAAAAAACCGGATTGACAAACATTCAACTTCATTGTGTAAATACGGTGCCAGAAACATTTGAAATCGTATTGTACTTGAACCATTGAATCGAATTAGCCACAACATATATTTTGTTGAAAGTGATTTATGTTTTTCCTTCTGGGTTGCTTCTGGCTGATACATGCGTAGGAACGTAGACTCACATATACTTGGGTAATTTACAGAATGCTGTTGGATATTTATTGCGAAACATTGTGGGGAAGAGGTTTTCCATTGTAGAGATAGATCTCCAACCCTCGTGAGACCTATCCATTTCCATTATTTGGATGGACTTTGCCCCAATATCAACTAGAAACTGAAACTGTGTTAGACTTAAGATAAAAAGTGAACATAAACATAAACGGTATGGTGCACACACTTTTCAATAACCGAAGTTGTTGGTACCGAGCCTACCTCGGTTACGAAGAATCTCGGATACCACGGTGGTTAGGGTGTCTAAATTTTTGAGGTTAGGTGTTACGGTACCATTTAGGAAGTTAAATACTGTACTTGTTATATATATTTTATGTAGTAAACTTGTAGCATATATTGAATAACCTTACATATAACCGGTTTTTATGTTGTAACAGTTAAGCTTACATATATATTTTATGAAAAAGAGCGTATCACAACTTAAGAATACTTTTAAGTTTCAATATAGTGTTATAAAAAGCACTTTTGAAGCATGTGTTTAGATATATGTAATGCCCACACAACATTACTGTACTAGAAACTAAATTTGTGATCTTTGAGATGTAAAACGTCGCATAACATTAACCAGAATAACTCAGTCATGTGTTAAAGCAATGTTGATTAAGTTACATGACCTGAACCGGCGTATGCAAGGACAATCTCCAATTACATTCCTGTTATAATAATTCACTGTATAGCTTAAATTTATAGTAATACAGGGATACTACGCTATTTAAAAATATGTCGTATTTTAGTAGCAATATTTCCAGAAAGAGGGAGTGATTTTGCTAGGTGTTTTATCGACCAATCATTAGTTGACAAACGCGTCTTATAACTCAATGATGTTCTTAATTTTATGAATCAAAAGTAAAATATTTCGGTAAAAACTGGTTGGTTTTTATTTTTTAGGAAATAAAAGAAATTTATCCTTTGACTTATATTGGACAAAATAGATTTCTTGCATTTCCATTACAGAGAATGTTTACAACCCTGGAGGAAAATTATTTTTTCATCGTTACCTAGAGCCTAAGAAGGACTTCAAACCACCTCTTGGGGCATACTAGACTAAATGTCATTTGTGGTTGGCAGGACTCGTACCCAAGCCTCTAGGACAAAATATTCAAAAACTCTAACCACTGGAATGCAGGATTTCTACTAATCATTCACAGATTGACCAAACACCAAACGGACCTAAAGGTAAGTGGGTTTTTATTTCAAGATTGTAATCATTTTGCTATTTTTAACAACTATTCAAATAATTGTGTGAAATATGTTAGTTGTGATTTAATGAACAATTTAAGACAATTTCTTGTTATTGGGATTGTTAAAGAAAATTACATACATAGTAAAAATAAAATATAAATATTTAATTTCATTTAAATAGCTTACATTTTTAAATACAGTTTCAATCCTATATGGATAAATTATTGTAATCTTAACAGCGTGATTAAACCTAATGGAAAAATTTATCCCAGCCAATGGATACATAAATTCATTCATTTTATTTAATTGATATAAAACCTATAAGCTTTATTCGTCCGAGTATTAGCTGATTCAGTGAACTCCTGTATTAAATCAAGGTTTGATGGCCATTTGAGTTCTTTTGTGCGACAAATTAAATCTGAATAAAATTTAATTGTCAACCGATTTAGAATCTAATTGCATTCTAGCCATCCCTTCAGTTCAACCGAGTTTTAGCTCAGCAATTTGAAATGAATTATACTGTCTTATTACATTTTCTAATCCCTCATTGTTGATATTAAGAACTGTTACCCACTTGATGCACTAATAAATTTACTTTTGTTGTTACGTTTTTCACTTTTGCGGATGTCTAATTGATTTTGATAGCTAACATCGTTTTACAATCCAAAAAATACAACAATAACAACTTTAATTTGATTGTTTTTAATTTGTCACCCCACTACTTGAAGTTGTAGTAGTTATGTTGACTGGTAATGTGCATTTATTGTAGAAATGTTCTCAATTTCGTATAGTGTGGTGAAAATTAGTGTTCGTACCACCGGATCGAAAGGGGTTTTGCAACTCTCGACCGTTTTAAGTTCTCAACTTCGTATCGAACTTAAACAACGATTTGCGCAAAACCTCATTTTCGGCACTAGGTACTAAAATATACTATTATACCTTAGTTTTAAAATTCTTGACTTTTTTCAGGGCTACGGTGAAATCGGTCCGTTAATTTAAATGTGAGATACTAGTAAAGATAATTTTTTCATGATGAACGGGTAGGTATGCATTATTTACAGTTTCAGTAAAAGTCGCAATCAATCGACATTTTTACAATGATTAAAATCCTGGTCTTAATTTAATTTAACTATTCATAAAATGAAACACGGTAGTATAAAAGGTCCATGGTGGTGAGGCACAAGCACTTGACATTATTGCCTAGCTCCAACATACAATCTGTTGTGGTAGGATGAAAGAGTTGGATAGAGTTCAAGATTAGTGTTGTCAGTGGTATTTTCGTAGTACTCTACTTCTCTAGGATGTGTGATGTTTACTTTAAGTAATTTTCTATTTTAGAGTCCAGGGAAAACATGTTGAATGTTTGTACGAAGCTTGACAATACAGCAACAGGGGTGTTGTTTGAAGCCTATTATAAAAATACGAGAGAGACATATTTTAGTTTTAGGGTCTTTTTAAGAAAGGGTCCCAACTACTCAAATGTTCCATATTTACGTGGTGTAAATAAAACAGGAGAAACAAAGGTGATATATTTAAAAGTCAAAACAGACTAACCTAACCATTTTTAACCTTCATTTGGACAGGAAAGATTTTACTAGTGGCACCTTTTTTCTTGAAAATACCCGTTTTGGTTTTTACAACCAAGCAATCTTTATGGATTCGTGTTTGTTAATATTTTTCCATTATGTAAGCTCTAAGTATTTAATCGAACCTCACTCAATTTTAATTCGACTTTATTTTTTATCAGACAGTTGAGTTTTAAATTTAATTAATTATTTTACTGTATATCGGAATTTATTTTGTAATATTTTTGATTTTTAGACAATTTTTGTTAGGTGTATGCAACATTATTCCACTGACTTTCAAGTGGCTGGTTCCTTCGTAAATATTGTGTTTTTGTTTTCCTAGTAGGCCTAACTTTTCCTTTAGTAACCCCCAGATGTTGACATTTTACAAAAGTCCTTTATTTTATCACTAGAATGTTACCATATCAGTTGAAACATAACCAAATAGCACACACAACCTGCTAGAGTGTTTCCATGCAACGAGGAACAAGCGAGGCTATGTAAATATTTACTTATGATGACTAATGATGTGGTGAGCGCAAGCAGCATTACATTAAACACACTCGGGAACACCGGCATAGCAGTGCATTTGAACTTATAGGGTTTTATAAGTTATAGTTAAATTCGTCTTACTCTCTTGAGGTATTTGCAATTTGTGTACTATTTCTAGGTAACTTAAGTAAAGAAATTAGTCCCGTTAACTGATAGTGTATTGTGTTATCTGTACGGTACTCAGAATATAATTTAACGCCCATCGTTAATTATTTGTCAGTTGTCAAACATCATAACGATACCTAATTGTCATTAAAAATTGAACATACTAAATGGAAAAGTCGTCAAGGAAATACTAAGTATTTAAGTCTAATAAGTTTAATGATTGAATTGTATTATTAAACCCGCATTTTGGCTTCTTAGGGTGTGGAATTGTTTATTTGAACTTAAAAAGCTACGCAAAATATATTAAGTTAAAGTATACATATTTGGAATACCAATGGTCGTAATCATTGACTTTTAAAATATAAAATTACAGTACCCATAAAGAAGAATCAGATGCAGCCAATGATGTATTGAAATGTAAGGAAACAAAGTTTAATGAGCCACCCACAGAATTTGCTAATGTTAAAATTATGATTCCATCTCAGTGACGGAAACTTTGACGACTTTTGTGACATAAAAAGACGCTATTTTATCCTTTCAGTTTGGTTTGGTTAACAAGTCGGCGTATACGACAGAAACCAGTAATTGACAACTGCACACTCGGTCAGTGATTTGATTAAACTGCGTTCCTTTTCATTTTGGAATGTTAACTACTCTCCATATTACAAGCAAATTATATAAATAAGTATTAATAACGTAGATGTACAGTATTACATTAGATCTATAAACACATCTCAAGTATTTTTCACGCTTTTAAAAATCTAAATATATTGAGTTACAAGGTTAAACAAATCAAAATCACTTCAAGAAAGACGTTCGTAGTTACATAAGACATGCATTAATGATGAATGAAAGTGTCATTAGGAATGAAGTAGCCTACTCTGTAACGAAACATTTTCTCAGCTTTGTAACATTAAATTTGGTCAAATATTTAATATAATATATGGTTGGCTTGTCTCTGGTAATCTTTCATTATGCATAAAACTTACTAATATTACTATGTCTAATTTATTCTAGTCGTTAAGTATCCAGGCTTGTCGCTTAATACGCTCATTTGGTAATATATGTATATAATATGTATATAATATATGTATATAATATATTATGTATATGTATATAATATATACGCCTCTTTTACATTTACTCTTCCAAACCATTAAATAAACCTAAACAATTTGTTGCGATAATGTCGTCAATAATTAACTGCAGTCCTTATGGTATTCAGTTTTGTAATAAGAAAAGGACTAGTTGTCACCATAATGTAATTACAACTTCTTCTGTTTATACTTAAAGATCGTGAGTGTGAACTGCACC